GTCGCCTGACCCAGTGAGGTGGCCGTGGGGTCCCGGTGGAGCTGTCCAGTACCAGCGGAAGGGGTTGGGTTTGTCTTAGCACCACCACAGAGGTGGCCCTGCTGCCCTTTCTGCCTTTGCACTAAGGTATTGACAGCCTGAGAACACTGGGGTCGTCTGAGGGTTGGTGACTTCCATCAGCATCACGTGCCACCATTGGGCACCATGGAATGGTTTGAGTTAGAAGGGACCATACAGACCATCTAGTTCCAAGCCCCTGCCATAGGCAGGGGACACCTTCCACCAGACCAGGTTGGCTTCTACCAGCACCACGTGTCACCATCAGGCAGCATGGAATGGTTTGGGTTGGAAGGGACCGTTAAGACCATCTAGTTCCAAGCCCCTGCCGTGGGCAGGGACACCTTCCACTAGACCAGGTTGCTCCAAGCCCTGTCCAGTCTCTCTGATGTTGGTACCAGTCCTGTTGTCTTGCCCCAAGCTCTGGCCCCTTCCTTTTCCAAAGGGCTGTAGTCTCCCTGTGACATCCATACTTGTCTCCTCACAGCCTGTGATCACTGCCTGAGGGCTCTGGAGACGGCGGAGGAGAACGCCCAGCGCCTGCTGGGGAAGAGCTCCCTGGTGCTGCCTCACCCGGAGCAGTGCAGCATCCGGAAAGACCTGCACCAGCAGTGTCCCCGATGCCAGGTACAGAGCTGCCAGCACAGACCCTGGTCTTCACAGCGACACTCCAGGATCTGAAGGGTCTCCAGGGAGAGGGACTCTTCGTTAGGAACTGGAGTGATAGGACAAGGAGTAATGGGGATAAATTGAAAGGAAAATTTAAGTTAGATATGAGGAAGAAGTTTTTCCCGTTTAGGGTGGTGAGACACTGGCACAGACTGCCCAGGGAGGCTGTGGCTGCCCCAACCCTGGCAGTGTTCAAAGCCAGGCTGGATAAAGCCTTGATTACCCTGGTGTGGTGGGAGGTGTCCCTGCCCAGGGCAGGGGCTTGGGACTAAATGATCCATTGGTCCATTCCAGCCCCTTAACATTCTATGATTCTTGGGGTTGTTGACTCAGTTACATCTAGTCAGGCACTGCCCAAGATGGGTGTCTGCCTTTCTGTTACACAGCCTGAGGCTCAGCTGGGTCTAGGACCCCTTTCCCGCTGCCATAGCCAATTCCAGGTGCTGTGCCCCTCCCTCTAGGTGACATACTGCAGTACTGAGTGCAGGCAGGCTGCTTTGGAGCAGTACCACCAGGTCCTCTGCCTCGGCCCGTCCCGGGATGACCCCACACACCCCCTCAACAAGCTGCAGGAAGCATGGAGGTAGGGAACCAACTTGCCTGCCACTCCATGGGCAAGGGAGGAGGCTCTCCTGGGCTGGGTGTCACTGCTGAGCACTGTCCTTGCTTTGCATCCCTGCATGAGGTGGCTGGAGGGCGGGGATAGCTGTGGGACACTGCCCAACTCTACCTGCTGGTTGGGCAGCAGGTGAATTGGTGTGGGCAGCACAAAGATATGGACACACAGCTGAGCAGTTATCTTTCTCCCTGTAAAGAGCTACAAAGCACTGAGCTGTACATCCATCACTCCTACAGTCTTGTTGTGCTCCTGTAGATCTCCAGCCTCTGGGAGATCCTCCTTGTAGGTCTATACATTGCTGTCCCTAGGTAAGCACAGGCTGCTGTGGTATGATGGATGAGTGAGGCCCTGACAGTGTAGGTGGCAACTGCTTCCTTCCAGCTTTTTATTTCCATACCAGCCTTGATCTCCTTCTGTCTGGTTTGTTCTTATCCCACAGAAACATGCATTATCCACCAGAGACTTCCAGCATCATGTTGATGGCCAGGATGGTCGCCACCATCAAACAGGTACATCTGCAGTTTGGTGTTGGCAGCTGCTAGTGTGTGGTTTCATTATCCCATTGTGGATGTTATTCCCAAAGCTCTGTGTCTTTGGCCTGGCTTTCTCAGTGTTTATTCTGACAATAAACTACCGCCATGCAGCTGCTTATAGATACCTCTGAGCTCAGCAGAGCTTGTCGTCTCCTTGCTCTCTCCAGGCTGGGGAGGAAAGTGGTGTTGGTGCAATGCCTCTGATTCATTCCTTTATCAGGCTAAAGACAAGGAGTGGTGGATGAAGGCCTTCTCTCAGTTCTGCAGTAAGACAGCAAATGAAGAAGAGGAGATTGTGCACAAGCTGCTGGGAGACAAATTTAAGGTAAGACTCGGAATCCCTGAGTCTGCCCTCTCCATGCCTGTGTCTGTGAACCCATGGGTGCAGAAGTCTTGTTACAGCTGGGATGGGAGACACTGGAAATCCCAGGCTTAAAGATGATCCCTGACAGTGAGGAAAGCTTAGAGGGTTTTGGGCTTCTGGTGCTTCTGTGGGATGTGCTGCTCCTTCCTGTGGGGGAGATGCTTCTGCTGTGAGCTGGGACAGGGTGATATTTAGCTGCTGAGGAGGTGGCTTTGCTGCTAAAATGAGTGGATTTCACTACTGGGAGGGCAGCAAGGCTCCAGCCTTGCAGGGAAGGACAAGGAACCTGACTCCTGAACCTTCTGGGCTGTGCTGGGCTCAGCTGTTAGCCTGAGGCTGACACCCAGTGGCATCTCCCCACCCTGACCGTGTTGCCATGTCTCCAGGGCCAGCTGGAGCTGCTAAGGTTGCTCTTCACTGAAGCCCTTTATGATGAATATCTCAGCAGGGTGAGTAGATCTGCCTCCCAAATAGCCCAGGAGCATTGTCCGGGGCTTCCCCTGGGACTCTGTCCTTTCCTTGCTTTCCCAAAAGCTCCCTGTGAGATTTGAGGCATTGCAGGGTGGGGTGGTGCTACAGGCTGGACAGGACTCAGTTCCTTTCTCCTCTCCCTTCTGCAGTGGTTCACTCCAGAAGGATTTCGATCCCTCTTTGCACTCGTTGGGACCAATGGCCAAGGCATAGGAACCAGGTAATGGGGCTTTGTGGGTGCTCCTTGCAGAGCAGAGGAGATATGGAATGTAAATCCATGCCAGCCTGGCTAATGGCTGGATTTAAGAAGGGAAAGGAGAGACAGACTTAAAAGCTTCACCTTGGCTCTGTCCAACTCTTTTGCATCCCTGTGACAGACTTTGGGTGTTTAGACCCACCTTACATTCCTTAGAGGTCCCACAGTGTGCTGACAGCCCTGTGGGACTGTAACAGTGCCCCTCTGCTTCCTGACAGCACTGTGGGACTGTAACAGTGTCCCTCTGCTTCCCAACAGCTCCCTGAGCCAGTGGGTGCACGCGTGTGACGCGCTGGATCTGCCCATGCTGCAGCGAGAGGAGCTTGATGCTTTCATCGACCAACTCTACAAGGACATCGAGAAGGGTGAGGGAGGATCTTTGTGTGAGTGCAGGAACAGGACAGGGAGCTTGGGGGTCTTCATGTCCTCCATCCCCTTCCCATGGAGAGGGAAGGGTGCTTGGGAAAGCACCTTCCAACACCCAGCCCCAAAGCAGCACTGGCCTGGCGCGTTCCGCGTTGATGGATATCCCTTTGTGCTCGCGTGTGGAAGAGCTGAGTTGGTCCATGCAAGGCTCTAACCTCCCTCTCTGTGCTGCAGAGTCAGGAGAGTTCCTCAACTGCGAGGGATCAGGGCTCTACGTGCTCCAGAGCTGCTGTAAGTAACACAAGGAATGGGAGGAAAACTAATAGTGAGTCTGGCTGACCTCTTCCTAGAAGCCTCTGGAAAAAGGAGTTTGTGCTTTCCATCCATGGGGTGGGTGCTGCCCTGGGGCCTGGCTGCTCTCAGAGTCTCCTTAACACCCCATCTGGCTGTAGAATGGTCAGCCCTGGCTTGACTGGACTTGGATGTGATGTATTCTCTGAGAACCACTTAATGCACTTAGCAAAGAGACTGTCTTGCCTTTAGGTAACCACAGCTGCATTCCCAATGCTGAGACATCCTTCCCGGAAAACAACTTCCTCCTGCACCTCACTGCTCTGGAGGACATTGAAGCAGGAGAGGTGAGACAGCAGGGCCTGGGTGGACCTGGGGTGACATCACATATTGGCGTCATCCGTGTCCCCTTATATCCCCCATAGACCCCAGCTCCATATGTCTTGTCTCTGCCCTGGCAGAGGAATTGGATCCCCATCCCACGTAGGGGCTGCCAGACCCCATGTTTCTTCCTGACTCTCAGAGGGACTGGGACAAATGGTGCTGCTTTTGGGGTCATGGGAAGTGATTGTGAGCCTAACCCCCATTTCTCATTGCTCCCAGGAAATCTGCATCAGTTACTTAGATTGCTGTCAGAGGGAGAGGAGCAGACACAGCCGCAACAAGATACTCAGGTAGGGGCTGCCTGGAGGTAACTGGGAGGGACCCCACACCCCTTTGCACCCCTAAACAGTCTGTCTGAGCAGCATCCCCACCCCGGGGCCCTGTGTGTGCCTTGGTGTGTGGCTGTGCCAGGCTGCTGTGAATGTCAGTGTGGTGGTGGCAGGGTGTGCACACAGCATGTGGTGTTTTTGGTGCTTCAAGATCCTTGCAGTCCCTACTTACGTGTTGTAGCCCCAGGGACTGAGGATTTGGGTTTCCTCTGCTCTCTACAGGCTTGCCACAACTTTGGAGTTTGCTCCTGCAGATCCTTGCTGTCCCTTCCCACCTTTCTTCCCTTCTCTGCCCTTCAAGGGTAGAGGTTCCTGTTGGTGGTTGCTGTTACTATGTCCCATCACCCCTGTGGAGCTGAGAAATCACCTTCTCCACTCAGGACACCTCTGCCCCACCTGACCCCAGCAGGATTGAACCCCTAAACTCCTCCTGGGTTTAACATATTTAGCCCTTTCTTGGCTGCTCTGTCCCTGACCCCGTGACCAGCATTTGCATTGGGGTTGTGCTTGTCTCAACACCATCCTTCTTCCTTCCCATCTTTCAGGGAGAACTACTTGTTTACCTGCTCATGTCCCAAGTGCCTAGCACAAGCTGACGATGCTGATGTGACATCAGACGAGGAGGAGGAGGGCGAAGGAGAGACGGATGATGCTGAGCTGGAGGATGAGATGACTGATGTTTGATCCTGGCAAGAGGAAAGGGAAGGGACGAGGGATTCCTTGGAGAGGCAGCAGCTTTAATACTAGGAACAGGGTTGTGTTGTGGGGTCGGGTGGGCGCCGCGTGCGGGCGGCGGGCGCAGAGGTCTGTCGGAGCGGGACAGCTGCGGAGCCGGAGGCAGGCCCTGCTCCCGCCTGTCTGTGCTGTGTGTGTCCCTGTGTGTGAGGCTGTCCCCGCCCTCCCTGGGAGGACAAGCTGTGACCCCGTGGCCCCTTCACTGCATCCCTGTTCCCAGAAGGGTTGGCTGGTGCTTGCAGGGGAGGCTGGAGGAGGGCAGGATCCAGCCAGCCCCCGGGACATCATGATGGTTGCCTTGTGAGGCTGCTCTGTGTCTGTGCCGGCCGTGGATATGGAGGAGCTTGTCCTTTCCCACCCCATGGGATGAGGGGAATGTGTGCGTGTGTATGTGTGTTTGTGCACGAGGGGTACTATTTAATGTCTATATTAGCACTATCTACACACTACGGAGCTGGGGTCCTATATATACTCCATTCCATGCCTTGGTGAGCAGTCAGGGGCGGAAGGATTTTGCAGGTGAGACAGAGACACCTCAGGGTGGCTCAGATGCCTGAGCCAAACGGGAAGAGAGGAGCAACCCTGCAGGCACCTTTCTCCTGCCTCAGCTCATCCTTCACACGACGCAGCACTCTGCATAGCAATTTCCAGACTGTTTGGGGAGGGGAATGGCCAGGCTGACACCAGCCCAGAGCTGATATGGGCTGTGGTGCCACCCAGAACCCATGCTGGGTTTTGCAGAGAGCAAGTTGTCCCTCGTCTGTGGGATGAGGATGTGCCGGAGCGGGAGCTGCTGTGCCCAGGGATGCAGTGTGGTGCTTTGTGCTTCCCCGTGCTGAGCGGCCCCACAAGGAGATGTCCCCATACCAAGTGGCCCCACGTGGATGTCCCCTTGTCATCCATCTCATGCTGCCACCAACAAGGCCACACCACGCTCTGCTGTGTCCCAGTCTGTGGACAGCGTGGCTGGAGGGAGAACATGGCTCCAAGTGACACACAGGCAGCAGGTTGAGGATGTGCCTGGGATGTTTTCACCCCTCATGGATTTGGGGGAGCTGTTTTCCTGCTGCAGCATCCTTTGAGCCTGTGGCAGCTGACTGTGGGACTGAGCGTGACACATCTCTGTCACTACCATCACTCCTGCCAGCCCTGCACCCTGCTGCTTGTCCCCAGCCGTCCCGGGGCCGCGTCCCGTTCAGTGTTGTAATAAACCAAGACTGGTGAGAACTAGGAGCCTGTGGTTTGTACTGGTAAACTGGAGGGTGGTGAGTGCAGACCCCAGGGCTGGTCCTGGGGGCACTTAGGTCTTGAAATGAGAGATTAGGCACCCATGGAGATGTGGACTCTGGATTTGTGACTAGCCTGCCCTTGGGGATGAGTGCTGGAGGCTGTACGGTCACATGAAGCTGCTTCACCCCAGTGCATCCCTGGGGTCTGACCTGAACCCTGTCCCAGCTGCAGAAGGCACCTTGAGAATTTTACCAGGAAAAACAGGGGATGAGATTTATTCCTTCATCCCCTGACTGCTCCAAAAAAAAAGAGAAACTTTTCCTGACGCTAAAACTTATTCAGACTTCATTAGCTCAAACAAAAATATACAGACATTGGGTGAGCCCTGCAGTACAGACCAAGCCTATATGGCTCTCCCTCCCCTCCCCATCAGTCCTGCATCCCTCCAAATCAGCAGCACAACGACTGGTGGCGTCTTACACATCATTAAAAACGTTTCCTAGGAAGTGCTGGCCTGCTCCAGGGTGTCACCTCTCCCACAAAGTCACGACGAAGGGTGCTCTGTGCCAGGCTCAAGGTTCCCACCTGGCACTGGTGTTTCCCCTTGGCCACATGCCAGTGCCAGCAGAAAGATCTCCCTGTTGCTGAATCCGGTGAGATCTCTGGAGCATGTTGGGATGCTTTCCTCAAACCTGGTCCCTAGGGTGAGCTCCTGTGATACACTCGGAAGTCCTCAATCCGCTGCAGCTGCCTGAGGCTACCAGAAGGTCCAGGGGGGCTGCATCATCTCATAGGTGGGAATGCTGGTGACGTTGACAGGAATGGAGATGACAGCCCAGGGGAGCCCATGCTGTTCCAGGGAGCGTCTGATCATGTACCTGGAAAGATAAAGAGGTGACAGGTGTGCCTGAGCCACTAGAGTTGGGACAGTTGGACCCTAGATCTGAGCGCAAAAACCACAACCTAGCTCAGCCCTATGATTGAATCCACTTAAATGTGATTCACAAAGCCTAGGAGGGACGTGCTGGGACACTTCAAGACATTGGAAGGGGCTGCACAGGGAAGCGGTAGAGTCACTATCCCTGGAGGTGTTTAAGGAAAGATGAGACATATCACTTAGTGCCATGGTCTAAGGAGAGAGACTGAGAAAGCTGGGCCTGTTCAGCCTGGACAAGAGAAGATTCATGGAGACCTCATAGCAACCTTCCAGAGACATATCACTTAGTGCCATGGTCTAAGGAGAGAGACTGAGAAAGCTGGGCCTGTTCAGCCTGGACAAGAGAAGATTCATGGAGACCTCATAGCAACCTTCCAGCATCTGAAGGGGTTACAGGGAAGCTGGAGAGGGTCTCGTGGTTAGGAACTGGAGTGACAGGACAAGGACTAATGGGTACAAATTGAAAGAGAGAAATTTATGTTAGATATCAGGAAGAAGTTTTTCCCTGTGAGGGTGGTGAGACACTGGCACAGGTTGCCCAGGGAGGCTGTGGCTGCCCCAACCCCGGCAGCGTTCAAAGCCAGCTTGGACAAAGCCTTGATCACCCGGGTGTGGTGGCAGGTGTCCCTGCCCAGGGCAGGGGCTTGGGACTAGATGATCTCTAAGGCCCATTCCAACCCCTTAACATACTATGATACTGTGATACTGGTTGACATGGTGGTGTTGGTCGTAGGTTGGACTTGATGATCTCAGATGTCCTTTCCAACCTTAATGATTCTGTGAGGCTGATTGCTGGGACATGCCTGTTTTGTGGGACAAGGCTCACTTAGCCCTTCCCATGAGCTGTCCCACACTTGGGAAGATGGACCAAGGTACCTACCCATCCCTGCCCAGCAGGAAGAGTGCGGGAATGTCGGCTGTGCGCCGGGTGTTGTCCTGGATCATTTCGATGTAGAAGCTGTCATTGTCGTAGGCGTTGTCGGCAATGATCACTGCCCGCCCACCGTGCTCCTGGACCACACGTGTCTTTGACAGGAACGAGCAGCCCCTGAGGCACACAGTGACAAACCTTTAGTGGCCACAGGTAGACTCTTGGCTAGACCAAATCCTGGAAGTGCCAGAACTTGCCTGGAGATGTCCAAAGCAGGGACTGTCTCCTGATCCTGCACCTCCCCCAAACCCTGCTCCTCTTGAGTCTGTATTTTAGGCACAAACCACCCACATTCAGCCATTTTATCCGAAGAAAATATAAAATATAGTCTCAGGTTGCACCCGTGGAAGTTTAGGTTAGACATTAGGAAGAATTTCTTCCCAGAAAGGGTGTTTAGACACTGGAATGTGCTGCCCAGGGAGGCAGTGGAGTCACCATCCCTGGAGGTGTTTGAGGAGAGGCTGGACGTGGCGCTTAGTGCCATGGTCTAGTTGACATGGTGGTGTTGGGTCATAGGTTGGACTTGATCTCAAAGGTCTTTTCCAACCCGATTGATTCTGTGATTCTGTGAAAATAACATAAAATAAGCTTTTCCCACCTTAGCACAGGCTCAAAGACTCAAGGTGAAACAGTCCGGGGTAGGAATACCCTCACGTTCTCCTCGTTTACCCATGGGAAGAAGCTGGAGGTGATAGGGAGATGTGGCCATGGCACTATCAGGTCCCCTCCTGCCCAAGGGTCCCCCCAAATATCTCCCCTGATGCCAGACCTACCCCCTCTCCACCAAGGCAATCTGGTCCTGGATGAAGACCCCATTATTCAGCTCTCCGCAGGCTTCTGGGGGATCCGCTGGGACCAGGTGGATCTGGTCGTACCTTGTGTTCTCCGAGAAGAAGACAGGCAGAGATGAGGAAGGTAGAATTGGAGCTGCTTCCTCTTCCCAGTCCCACTCTGTCTGTCTCTGCTGTCCCATGCCCTGCTCATCCTTGTGTGGCGTGTGTTTTCAGGGAGATTTTAGGGAGATTAGGGCTTCCAAGTGCAGGGACACTGGTTGCCCCATTCCAGCTGCCTCAGAGCCTGCCTGACAGGTCATTCCCTGCCTCTGGAAGTCTGTGAGGCCAAGGATGCTCATGGAAAAGCAATTAGCTCCATTTTTATCAAAATTCTAAATCACTGTGGCCCACAAAGGAGAAATATTAGGATGGATTGATCCAAAGTGCCAAATCCAGTTTTTAATACTTACAAACACACCACCAAAATCCTTGGCTGGAGTGGCAGTGAAGATGTAGCGGATGTCTCCAGGGCTCAGCACTTGGAAGTACAAGTATTCATGGATGCGTAATCCTGGGGTGAATGGAGAGAGGTGAGGCAGTGAAAACTAAGGGGGAAACTCCTGAAAAAAAGGGAAAATAGCCAGCTACTGCTGCTAAGGTAGGTATTAGCATGCTGGTGGGAACAAAACTGTTGGCAATGTCAGCTCCTGGCCCTAGGACCCAAAATGCCAGGTTCTGGGATACTCCAACGGGAGATACAGCAGTTCCCAGGAGCCAAGAGGCAATGGGGGAAACAGCATCAGGTATGGGGTGTACAAGAGGAAAGGTAAAATGGAGCCAGACCATGGAGAGGATAAGGGTGATATGCACATGGATTGGGGAAATGCACTTGGATCAGGATGCAGGAGGGGAAATGCTACTGGATTGGGGTGTAGGAGGAGAAATGCAATGGATCTGGGGTGCAGTAATGGGAAATGCATCTGGATTGCAGTGCACAGAAGGGAAATGCAACAAGACCAACGTGCAGAGAGGGAACATGCACCTGGACTGGGATGCAGGAGGGAAAATGCTAGGGGGTCAGAGTGCACCAAGGGGACATGCGGCTGGATTGGGATGCAGGAGGCAAAATGCACCTGAATCACAGTTCATGGAGGAAAACACACCCAGAGTAAGGTGCGGGAAGGGAAATACACGCAGAAGGAGGTGCTGGGGAGGAAATGCAATTAGGTCAGGATGCACCGAGGGAAATGCCCCCGGATCGGGATGCAGGATGGGAAATGCACTTGGACTGGGATGCTGGAGGAGAAATGCCTCCGCATCGGGATGCAGGAGGATTATCACAATTAGCTCTAGGTGCACCGAGAGGAAACGCACCCGTGTCCCTGTATGGGCACGGAAGGTGAATTGCAACGGGGCCGGGATGCGCGGAAGGGGAACAGTGCGGGATGGCGGAGCGCGGGGTGCGGGTCGGTGCCATGCGGGGTACGGGTCGGTGCCATGCGGGGTCGGGG